GCTATGGAAAATCTTTTTATAAGTATTTCGGCATGTATAGTATGTGTGAGTGAGTGTGTTGAACGGACGGATGGACGTACGGACTGCCTAATAAGTCTGCACCTAATAAATTTGCATTCGCTATGCATAATTTTTCAAAACAAATGTCAAATAAATAAACAGATACATAGATACTGCTAGAAACGCTGGCACGCACTCGCACACACAAACACACACACACACACATCTATATGTATATACTAAAGCACTGATAGATACCAGCACACACACACACTGCGACACAGATACGAGCGTGCTGACAGAGAAGCTTGCAAATTTTTTAGACAGCGCGGCGCATCATTTTCTTTTCTGAATATAAAAATGCCAATATTTTTCATTGTAAGATCAAAGTTCCATTTCAGGCAGGTAAAAGCGTTATTTCAAAAATAAAAGGAGAGTAAAAACGACTGTTTTTTAAATGAAATTTAAATGACGTTTGAGTTGTTTCTTTTAACAAAATTGTTATCACCAATATTTCCAATAATCTAACAGCAAAACGTTTTTTGTTCCAAAGTCATCAAAGAAGTGTGGAAAATCTTCTTAAGCACATAAATATAGTAAACTAAAAACTGTATGGTTTTATCTCGTCGAGCTTTCTTGGAACAAATTTTTAGCAAGAAATTTTAGCAACTTTCGTCACCCAAGAACGTTTTTGGAAAGTTTTTAGAATTTTTTCTTTATTCATTTCACAAAATATGCATTTCATTTTTTTTTTATGTTTTTATATAACAGGCACTTTAAAAGAGGCTTTCATAAAATTTTTATAAAATTTCTCAAGCATATACATTTTTTATGGCTTCATATTATAAATATTTTGTTTTTCGAATTTGTTTTGAATCGAGAAAACCGTTAAAATTCTTTGAGATATTTCTTTTTGCACTGCAGTAATATTTTCGAATGGCTTTTATTTCACATTTTTGAACGGTTTTCGAAGTTTCGTTGAAACCAAAACAAAAAACAATACAACAATTTGAATTTTATTTTACATTTTCATGACCACACAATTATGTTTACTTCTTTTGTTATTGTTTAGCTTGCATACAACTTTAAGTAATTAAAACACTTTGTACCGCTGCTGCATTGCTACCACGATATATTTGTTGTATTTTTTTTTTAACTATTACTTGGCCGTAATCTACAACAATAATAACAGAGGCAGACACACACAATGCGAATGTGAATGCGAGCGGCGCTTTTCTTTTGCTTTTTCGGTTTGATTTTTTGCTGCTTGGCTTTGCTTTTAAATATAGAGCTGCCTTTAGTTGCTGGCTGCTGCTGGTGCTGCTGTTGGCCGCTTTGGTGTCGTGAGCCGTTTGGCAGTCGGTTGAGTACTGGCACGAGCCGCTGTCAGCGAAGCAGCACGAAGCGACGGCCCGCAAGCGTCGGCAGCAGCAGAAGCAGCGAGAAAGTTTGTTTTTCATTGTTGAATTGGACTCTGTTGCAAACGCAGCCGCAGCCGCAGCAGCAGCAGCAGAAGTAGCAACAGCACCATTAACAGCGACAATCCACACGACAGCTACGACAACAACAAAAAGCCAAGCAATTTATTGTATTTTTTTCTCGGCAATGTAAAGCGTTTGCATGCGCTCTTGTTGGGGGTGGGTAGTCGGTTGGCGGCCAATGCTGCTTATGTTAACTAACATACATCTGTTGTGTGGCTTATCAGGCAATGTTAATGTTTTTGTTTGACTGCCTTGTTGACGCTGCCTCAGAGTTTAGTTGCATGGCGTGCGCGTTTGCGTGCAAAGCGCGTTTTGGGGCGGCTTGGGCGGCTGCACTGACAGCAACAATAACAACAACAGCAATGGCAATGTTAAGTCGTCAGCCTGTCCGTTGTCCAAGCTCTCGCACAGCGCAACACGCGCCGTTTGTTGCATGCGACGTTGCCTCGCAGTCGTCGTCGTCATCTGTCGCTTTGCCTTTACCACCAAACTGTGCCCCCAGCTCTCGGAGCGCCTCCTTTGCTCTTTCTCCTGCTCTTACAGCTTTCATGTTCAAACCAATTCGTTTGTCATTTGTTTAATGACACAAATATTTGTATAAAGTGTTTGCATTTATGTATGTTGACGACCTCAGGCTCTCTTACCCGCCAACCACCCTCGCCCCTATCCAACTCATTTTCAATTTTCATTTTCTTGCGCCTTTTTCGCGTTTCGTCGTCCCCGTCTGTCGTGTGTTTCTAGCAATAATGTTGTAATAATTTTGTTTTTGGCGTCATGAAAGTTTGTGACTTGCTTTCCATTTTGTTTTTCCCGTTGCCATGTGAGTGCTTGTATTAATATATATGTGTGTGTATGTGTGTCTCTCTGTCTATGTGTGCTTGAATTTGTTTGTGTTGCTGTCGCAAAGTGTGCTATAAATTTGATTACTACTAATAGCCTAATAATAACGTAGGTAATGACTACAAGGCGGCATGTTTTCTGTTATTACTTATTATGCATATTTTCCTCATATACATTTTTTGTCAGTCCTTTTAAGCGAATTGAATTTCTTTGATGGTTGTTAAAATGAGTTGACTGGCGAAAAAGTGTACCCGAAAAACTTATACTAGTCGAGCTACAAGTGCCAAAGGCATTATATAGTATACATATGGATATGGATATGGATGAGGAATTGAATTTCGCCGTCATATGTTTTGCTTACAATTCACAAGGATGGCAGCCAAGCAACCAATTGCCAATTGATATGTGTGTAAGTGTGTACTCGTGTGCGTGTGTGTGACTTCTAACGCCGATTAGGCAAAGCAACAACGTAAACAACTAAATAAGGAAGTGACACCGGAAGTAGGCATTGAAGTAAAGGCGGCGAGAAGGAAGGAACAAACGCAATGCGTGGCAGGCAACGGCAACGCGTGGAATGCGCAAAGGAATGTCCTCGAGAAGGGAGCAAAAGGGGAGACATATATATACATATATAAATATGTATATGTATGTGAGTTAGTGTAGGGAGGTACAGCAATGGAAAGGAAAGAGGCAAAAAACTCACTCAAATTGAAGCTGTTGCTCTCACGCATGCTGTATTTAAAACGTTTCCTCTCATTCTCTCGGGCAGACATACACGCACACTCTCTCTCTCTCTCTCTCTCTCTCTGTGTGTGTGTCATTCTTTGATGCTCAGCTGCGCTGTTACAAAAAATGCCACTGACACCGGCCGGCTGAAACTAGTAAAAGCAACATAGCCCCCAAACGACGGACGCACTTTGCAGCTTAACCTATAAAAATTCCGCAGCAGGTTTCGTTTGTTGTCGTCCATTGTCGCTGCCACTGCTGTTGCTGTTATTGTAGTCGCTGTTATTGCCACTTTTTTTTGGTTTTTTGTTGCATGACCATTTCGGCCAATTCTTCTTCATTGTCTATGAGCGCCTGTTACCTTCGCGACGAAGCTGACAACACACACAGGCGTCGTACACGTTGTCGGCAGCGACGGCAGCATCGTCGTCAGTCGCTTCGTCCACTTCGCCTCAAAGTCTTGAGACCCACAATTCCCATCGGCTTGCCTGCAATCTTTTCTATATGCGATTACGTAGCGTCGATTCTGATATGTTTTGTCCTCAGACGTGACTTAAGAATATTTCGAGAACAAGAAAAAGCTCGACTAAAAACGAGTAAGGCTTGTTGCTTTGTCTAGGAACAAGCTACGTCAATAGCGTTATCTCAATATTTTGACGAATTTCACAGACATTACAAAAATATGTTGGATAACTTCCCATTTATAAATAAACTCATGACTACACTGTTGAAATACAAATGTATTAAGATAAGCTCTTATTACGTTTTGGGAAGCAATATCGATTTTGTTAGACATGCATAGAAAATTATAGCTGGCTATTCTCAAATGCCATTCACAATTTTTTTTTAAACATTTGAATGGATACATTTCGGCTTAATACTCATTCTTTTCTTATATAAAGCTTCGTTCATGTAATTCCATCATAATATAAATACTTTTCCTGCTTTTGATACTTGTTATTTAATGAGTTTTTCGTATTCGGCGACTGCCAAAATATAGACCTAAAATTCGTCGCTACTATGCCCTTTCCGGAAATACCTTAAGTGCTTAGCCGTCTCATTGAGAGATTTCTAAAGCTCAGTAATGGTTATAAAGTTGTTAACATAAGAGAGAAGAACTTGGCGGTCCACTGTTTCGGAGCTGTTGATGTGGTTTAATCTGACATAGACTCCATATCCGCTTAACAGACGTTCAAGATGCACACTTACAGTTTATACTATATATTCATATTTATGGTTTCTTCAGGGACTGTAATAGCATAAGTTGGTAAATATTTATATGTGTGTATAAAAGTATTATTTGCTTCTTTTTTTTTTGAGTGCTTTCACACGTCCCTTTTCCACCGCATGAAAACGGTTTTGTTGCCGTACTCTCTGTTAGAGCTGCCTGTTAGAGTTGCCTGTTAGAGTTGCCTGTTAGAGCTGCCTGTTAGAGTTGCCTTGCTGTTAGATCTGCTGGCACTGTTAGGCTGGGCCGCTTTATGCTACAACTGTCGTTCGTACGAGTATGTTGATTTGTTTGATTTTGCTGTGATTATGCGCAGTGCCCAGCGCCGTTTCGTAGTCAGCGACCCATGGAGGGCATTGAGTACAACAAATACAACGACAACAACACAGCAACTACATTGCCTGGCCTGTTGTTGCTATATTGTTGTATTTTTTTTTTGTTGCCTCTGCGTTACCTCGTAAAAACTCATTGCCAGTTTGGGGCAGCGCTCAACTGGAAATGTAGACGCAGTCGACTGCAGGTGTTTGTCTGTCTACATATACATATATATAAAAATTATATATATATATATATATTATATATTTGTGTGTGTTTACGCTCAGCAATGTCTATATTTCTTTGCAATGCTTAATTAGTAGGTGGCCCCGTGTATGAGTTTTATAAATGATGCCGCAGAACAGGCAGCCAGACAAACAAATAGTTGGTAAGTAAAGGAAAGACAGTAATGGAACGCACTCAAAATCTCCCTATATTTGTTGTACTATATAGGCTTTTAAATTGGTATATATGTATATATATATATATTGAAAGGGATGGAATTTTGCAACTTGTGAATCCACAACCCAACAAGAACAAACACATTCTGCAACTCTAGGGACGATTCGTTGAATTTCTGTCATCATGGTAGCGTATGGTAAATCCTTTGTAGGTATGCGCGGTTATCTCCTTCGTTGGTGTGAACACTGCACGTTCTATAATGGCCCGGGGACTCCCAAAATTGAGAAGCCAAAACTTCAACTCGTTTACTTTCGGCAACGTACCCTCCAGCTGGCCAATGACAGTGCCATTGTCCGTGTTCATCACCCAGCCGCGCACTCCATTCATATTGGCAAGTTCACAAGTTTGTTTGCGCATGCGTACACCCTGAACTCGGCCGAAAACCTCAAATCCACACCCAAAGATCGGTTCCATTTGCATCATTTTTGTACTTGCTGTAGAGTTTGTGGAATCCAAGTTTGGAATTGGAGTTACAGATCTATTTTTGAATACTTTTTTTGTATAAGTAATTTGCCAAAAGTTTTGTGCGTAAATGATAGATATGGAAAAGGAAAATACTCAAAAAGTAAAGCTATTAGCATAGCTTGCTAGGAAAAACTGATAACCCTAGAGGTACGATTTTCAGCTTGAATTTTTTTAAGGGAATGTTCGATAGAGGGTCTGAACAACACTGCAATCTGATAATGCTTTCAATTTCACCTGATTTTGAATATAACAGGCGATTGTAACTTTTATTGATTTTAGGTATTTCGAAGCATCAATAAATATCTAATTGTTGATAAAAAGTAATGGGTGCTAAAATGTATTTACTTTAAATACCAGTACTAAAATATTCAGGCAGCTCTTTAAAACTGGTTTTAAGAGATATGCCATTAAATGGAGAATCGGCTGGAAACTACCTGTTCTTGGCACGCGCCCATCTCTACGTCAATTCTAGTCCCACACATCTATAGGCCATATCAGCACTGGGGACATATAAATCACATGGCACGCACGACAACAATGAAGCTGCGTATGTAGTACATAGTAATCAGTACATACATACAGTATCATCTCAAAGGCTGGAAAAGCAATCCAATCAACTGGCAGTGCCACAAAAGTTTGCAACCACCGCGTCATTTTTGCCCGCACCACACCACAGCACACACTACACCAATCTGCCGCCCCCTTCCACCTACCTATCAACCAACTGAGAACTGCCTTTCTACATGAGTACAAACAATAACTAGCGAGATAAACAGACTACATTTGGCGCTAATACAAACGACAGCGACAGCGACGACGACGACGATGTTGGCTGAGACTCTAGCGCAAATATTTAATATGATATTTATGGCCTGGGCATCGGATGGTCTGGGATGGGGTGAGGGCCGTTCATGCGGCCCGGGGGCTGTTGTAAGTAATGCCACAGTGCTTCATGATAAATGACTATTTCGCATCGAGCCGAACAGCAACAACGAACACTCCTTAACCCCCCAACACTACAAAAATAAAAAAAAAAACAACAACAACGACGAACCGCGACTGTCAAAATGCGCGCCATGCCAAAAATTTGCTTTTGCTGCTTCTACTGCTGCTGCAGCAATAATAGCACAAAATCTAACAGCGAATCTTAACAGCAACAGAGTAGCGTGCTTATTCAAATGTAACAACACGAGCCACTTCTGGCTCCTCCTCTGCCTCTCCACTGTTCCTGTTGAAGCCGAACGAGGCGACGAGCCGAAGGTGAGCAAGCAAAGCAAAACCAAATCGAAGCGTAGACAAACAAACTGACGCAAAAACTCAACGCTTCAAGGGATTTGGTGTTGCTCGTGCTGCGTTGTTGTTGTGGTTGCTGCTTTTGTTGTTCAAACATGGTAAATAACAAGTAAAAAAGCTAAAGTCGGGTGTCCCGACTTTGAAATACTCTGTACATATGTTTACAATAATTATAGAAAATAAAAAAAATTAAGAAAATAAAAAAAAAAATTTGATCGATTTTACCTCTCTCGGTATTCGAACTCACGTAAAGGGTGTATAATTGCACATTTACATAGCAATTGCGTCTGTGTGAGTGTATGTATGCCTATGCGCATCTATTCGTGTCTGTGTAAGCATTTTCGCAGTCAACCAAACAGCAACATCAACAACAGCCGCGGGCAGCGCTTGAGCAGCGCTGCAGCAGCGCTGCAGCAGCGCTGCATCAGCAAATATATTTATGGCTATAACTTCTTGTTAAATTGGTCTATCATAATGAAATTTGGCATACGGACACATAATAACTAACTGGGGGTATTTCCAAAATTTTAGTTCGAAATTCCAAGAATTACGGGAGTTACGATTTGCGGGGTAAAGGGGGAAGGGAGGGGAATTCCAAAATATACATTTTCTGCGTATTCACATAAGGCATCTGGGACTAAAATTTGGTGTTCCTAGGTCTTATAGTCTCCGAGATATAGGCGATTATACGAATGGAAAATCGGGAAAACCCCCATAGGGGGGATGTGGGGGGGAAAATCAAAAAAATAAAACAAACTCGTATAGAATACACACATAACGCATCTTCGTGCAAAATTTGGTGTCTCTATCTCTTATAGTCTCTGAGATCCAGGTGTTCATACGGACGGACAGACGGACAGACAGACAGACAGGGCTAGATCGACTCGTCTCGTCATGCTGATCAAGAATATATATACTTTGTGGGGTCTGCCACGCCTCCTTCTGCCTGTTACATTTTTCAGCTCCCGCAAACCTAATATACTCTTGTACATTTCATGTACAGAGTATAAAAACTTTATAGACTACGCTTTAATTGTGACTGAAACTGGGCTCGAGCGCCAGCCATCAAGTTACGGTTTATATGTACTAGTTAACAGCAAAAACAGAAGAAATAGCAAGACAAGATGACTGTCTCTGTTAAGAGTTAACAGTGAAGTAACAGCTAAGATACTGTTAATTGAGAAATCATGTTTTTGAGCCATAATTGAGCCGCTCTTGTAGATGCCAAGAAATAAATTACAATTCATTTACAGAGTACATATTACACATATTAAAGAATTTACCTTGGAGTTGTATATATTGGTAGCACAACTAATACTTCTCTTTTATTCGTTTATAAATAATGCTGATTGAATTTGCAATGGATTTTGAGAGTAATGTGCCATGATCTGTTGTTATTAATAGGCTGTTTGTTTTCCGGAGTAACAGAAATGACTAAAATTATTTAAAAATTAGGTCGAACAACTTGTCTGTAACAAATTGCTTAAAGTTTTCTCTAATTATCTTTGAGCACTTTGTGGTGCCGCTTGACGCACTATACAAATTAAAAGGCGCCGGCAAACACACAAGCCCACATAATCGTAAATACATACATACATACGTTCAAATATTTATGTACATATGTAAGTACAGTCGAGCATCTAAGAAAATGCAAAAGACTTTCAATTGAAATGTAAATGAAAGATACAAACTAAAATTAGCCTACAGATATAAAATGAAGCGGCCAGCAAATCGAAAATAAAATATCGAAACGTAAGTGAAAATACATAGTAGTAAAAAAAAAACATGAAAAATCCAAAGATAATTCAAACGAAAAATGTAAACACTTCAAATAAAACTACATACATATGTACATATATACAAACTCACATCTTTATATGCATATAGAAACATACATATGTATATGTATATATGAATGTGTGTGGCGGCTGCCACTGCCTCGGAAAATGTGAGAAAGAAGAAGCACAAACAGTAACAGTTGCAATGCATCTGCAGGGTAGAGGAAGGCGTTGAGAGCGGCAGCAGAAGTGGCAGCGAGGAGGGGGGAGGTGTATTTATTATGTGGCTGCAACTGTGGCTATTGGCGTTGGGCGTCTTGGCTTGGCCTTTAATAAGTGGCTTCGTTTGTTTACTTGTTGACACAATTCTAGCTACCGCATACACTTTCATCTATATACTATATGTATGAATATAAATGTATATGTATGTATATAAACATACAAGGATGTGTAAATTCATACATACGTCAATGTATATGTAGAGATATGTTTGTGTTAGTGTGTGCTTAACTGTGCTTTGTTGAACTGATAGTCAAATTGCAATCAGGTTTGTGGAGACTTGGGATTTAAATGTTAGAACTAAGATATAACAAAAGTCAGCTATTAGAAGTACAGCATCTATAAATTCAATCATAGTCGGCAAAAAAAAAGGGAAAAATTTAAAAATGATTTAAAGCAGGACAAAGCAAGGAACAAAACAACAGCTTTGGTTTAGTCTAAAGAGTAGAAACTTGAGAGAGTTGGTGTGTTCTCTATTATTATTACTTGTGTCAAGTATATAGCTTCAGTTTCCTTAAATCGAAAATATAAAGCTATATCCGAATATGGACACCTTTGACTGTGCTTAGTTATTTAAATACACGGCAATTTTGTGTAACTTTTGATTCATTTATACAAAACATATCCTTTAATATACTTACGCTTACTTTTACTTTCGAATTACATTATGCGGCGCATAAGTGACTTACCTGTAATGAGAAAAAGAGAAAATTTAGTGAAAAACTGATTAGCTGCAAATACGGAGTAAACACAATTTAATGATAAATCAACGAGCAGTGTCCAAATAAGGCGAACAATTGAAAAAAGGAAAATAAAAGAAAGAAATTTGCATTTAGCTGTGCGCACAAACAAAGCTAAAAATATTTCTGCCCGCTTAGAAATCCAAAATTAGCTTCTGTGATGCATGGCGACAGAGACGGCAACGGCAATGGCAGCAACGGCGACGGTGACGGCGACTGCGAAAACAACGTCACCGTTGAGCCGCAGACGCGCGTCGACTGACGTTGGCAGAAAACGACAGCAGGTTGGCTGAAAGTCTGCCACTGATAACGGCAAAATGGTATGCCAGCAACAACAATATCGCAAAGAGCGCCAACGTATGCTCACTGGTGGTGGCAGACACACTTGCTCACCCACACTCACTCTCTCGCTGGCAGCAGCAGCACTCACGCCAAAATAAACAAAACAAAGTGCGTCCCCCCATCCTCCCTCCCATCGTCCAACACAGTTTTATGGAGAGCGCGCGAAGGGGGGTACCAATGAAAATAAATATGTGGGCATAACAAAAATGAAAATTGTGCTCGAAATGTGCCGCAAATGGCAGCAGAATTGCTATTAAAAATTACAGAGCGCTTGTGTAGGCTCTTTGTCTATGAGAGAGTATGCGTCAGAAGGAGAGCATGAGAGAGAGAGAGCGCAATAATGCTGGTGTGCGTTCACGTGTATATGTAAAGTTACAAGAAACTTAGCCAACTAAAATGACAACAACAAAATCACTCGAAATCATAGAAGTAAGTAGTTTTGGGGCAATCTTTAACAGCTCACTGCTAACTTCATAATAAAGTGCTGCTAACTAACAGGACGCCCTATTTAAAGCACTTACAATAATGTAATTATAGATTATTGCATTAAATTTGCGACCAATAAAGCGTGCCCGTTGTATTTGTGGGTGGGCAGACTGTTAATGCA